CCCTGCTGCTCCACCTCTCACTTCCTCTCCCTCCCTTTCCTCCTCCAGCTCCACCTTCTCTTTCTCCCCATCTCATCATCCTCCTGCTCCTCCTCCTCCTGCTTCTCCTCTTCCTTCTCCTGCTCAACTCCTTTTCTGCCTCCTCCTCCTTCTCCTCCTCCTCCCCTGCCTCCTCCTCCTCCTCCTGATGTTCCTCCTCCTCCTCCTCCCCCTCCTCCTCCTCCTCCTCCTCCTCCTTCTCTCTAGACCCCCACGTCTGATGAATGGCCAGTACCTCCGTACAGATTAATAGCTGGGGCGTTATACTACCCCTTGTCCTTAACATGTTTACGATCTCACTGAACACGGACCTCCGAAGAATATTGCCCCGGTATACCTGAGCATACCCATACTGATGTAACACATGGCTCGGTGACCAACTGTGCTGGCATAACCACGATGCATTTCGTGCGACACTGGATTCAATAATTAACCTGGCACTTACACTCTGCAGAAGTCTTTGTCCTGTTTCTATTGTTGACGCTCCGACGCCTGCGAACGCAGGCGAGTTGCTGCCTGTGTCACCGTCCTGTCGTCGTCTCGTCGTCGCCGTCTCTCTCGCTTGGGACCTTTCCCCCACGTGCGTGTCTCGCCAAAAGCTGAATGCTGAATCCTCTCCCGCCCCCTCCACAATTACACAATATGAATACTACTCTCCTCTCTCCCCTGGTGACGTCCGGGGAATGACCGGCCCCACTTCATGTACTGTTTTTTATACAATTTCCCAGCAACGGGTGTTCGCTTAATTTTTTTGCTGTTTTTCCGAAATGCTGCTCTCGCTGAGGCGCTGGCTTCATTTTCGGGCCACCGCTCATTCCGAATCGTGTTCCCGCTGCAGAGCTGGCCTTATTTCTGCGCTTCCGCTTGTTCCCAATCGTGCTCCCGCTGCAGCGCTGGCGTCATGTTTTCCAGCGCCATGCCACGGCGTGGTTCTCGGTCCTGCCAAATATGCTCCAAAATCCAGAAAATGACCCCCCGAACAAATCATCGGAAGTGATTACACATTCGGTGCCGATTCGTTTTTTGGGTCGCAGAAGCTCCCCCCCCACTTTAGGGCGTCGCCACGCCATGCTATGTCCGGTTCCGCGTTCTCCGAATCGTGCTCCCGCTGCGGCGCTGGCCTCCTTTCCGCGCGTCCGCTCGTTCCGAATCGTGCTCCCGCTGCAGCGCTGGCGTCATTATTTCCAGTGCCATGCCGCGACATGTTCTCGGTCCTTCCAAATATGCTCCAAAATCCAGGAACTGACCCCACCAGAAGAGATTACACATTCGGTGTCGATTCGTTGATTTGTTGAGCCGCAGAAGCCCCGCCTTTGGGGCGTCGCCACGCCATGCTATGTCATGCTACGCGTTGATCTTCAACATCATGCTATGCCATGTGATACTATGCCATGCTGCGACATCCGATTGTGCGGACAGAGAAGAGATCTACGCCATGGTAAGGGATGGGAGGGAGGGGTAGAACGTCAGGAGTGACGCGAGCGCACCTAGATTGTTCCTTCCCCTCTCCCTTCTCCCCCTCCCTCTCCCCTTCCAACTCCTACTCCCCCTCCCCCTCCCCCTCCTCTTCTTCCTCCTCCTCCTCCTCCTCCTCCTCCTCCTCCTCCTCCTCGTTCCCCTCCTCCTCGTTCCCCTCCTCCTCCTCCTTCTCCTCCCCCTCCCTCCACCTCCTCGTTCCCCTCCTCCTCCCCCTCCCCCTCCCCCCTCCCCCCCCTTCCCTCGCCCCTCCCCCCTCCCTCGGGAACCCGGAGCCCGTCCTCCGCCGCCGCACACGGGGCGGCCGCAAGGGCGGCAGCCGACCTCGCTCGCCGCCGTCGGCCGGCCGCCGCCGCCAGCGGCGTCCTCGTCCTCGGCGGCGTCCTCGACCTCGTCCTCCAGCGCCGGCGTCCTCGTTGCCGTCGTCGTCGTCCTCGTCCTCGTCCTCGGCGTCGTCGTCATCGTTTCCGTTGTCGTCGTCGTCGTCGTCGCGGGCGACGGCAACGTCTTCGCCTTGGAGGTTATCGGCCTCGCACAAGCTCCTTGTCGTCGCCGTCGCCGCCGCCAACGACGTCCTCGTCCTCGTCCTCGTCGCCGTCGTCGTCGTTGTCCTTGTCCTTGTCCCAAGCGTCGTCGTCATGGATTCCGTCGTCGTCGCCGCTGGCGACGGCGGCGTCTTCGCCTCGGAGTTTCTCGGGCATTCTCGATAGTCTCGCCACCGCGGCCCAGAAATGACAGCCGGGTTTGAAGCCCATTAGGGGGCGGGGACAGAGTTTGAGCGGATTTTGCTCCGAAGTCGTAGTCGTCGTCGCCGTTGTCGCTGGGGGGAAAGGGGAGAGGAATGATGACGAGGATGGTGATGAATAGGATGATGAGGAGGGAGGGAAAAGGGTGAGGAGGAAGGAGGAGGAGGAGGAGGAGGAGGGAGGAATGAGGGCAAAGCGGAGGGAACGGAGGGCGGACGGGCTCCACACGACACTCCAAGCCTGGGCCAGCCAAGCCGGACCTGAGGAGACTAGCCGGCCCTCATGATCGCCGAATCCTGTTGCGTGACCCCTGATGACCCCGCCGCGGGCCCCACCCGTCAGCACGCCAAATCTGGGGCCTTCCGACACGCGAGGAGGCCCTCAACAGTGGAAATTAAGCCTGGAAGCCCTTTCCAACCTTTGGGGCCCCATCCCTGACCTCCCGAGCATTGTGTGCCGCAGCCGGGGCCGGAGCCCAAGCTTGCGAAAACCCCCGCCGACATCGATGGACACCCCCCCCGGTCCCTGACAGGCAACGGCAAGAGGGGACCTGCTCATTGAGGGGACCATCGAGCTGGAATCGGCGATGCGTCGCCGAGAAAGGTCGGCCCCTGGCAGCAAATCCGCACGCTCCTGAGCGGGGCATATCGGCGATGACTGGGCGGTTGGGGGACAGTGCGCCATACCCCCTGAGCCCATGTCCCCCTGAATTGCCCCTAAATCCGTCCCTCCCTCAAGCGTTCCCTATGCGTTCCTCCTCCCCCTCCTCCTCCTCCTCCTCCGCCCTCCCCTGTCCTCGCGTTGCCCCTCGTCTTCCTCCCTCTACTCCATCCCCGCCCTGCTCCTGCTCGCGCTATCCCGGGCGGTCTGGTCATGCCTGCGTGCTACTATGCCGGGCGCTTGCACTCAAGGTTCCCGCGTTTCCTGCGTCCGCGCGTCCCCCAGCGGCCAGCGTTTTCTGATTTGAGCAACGCCGCTCACCCTGCCGGAAGGCACCCTCTGCTCCGCGGCGGTCGGCAAGCAACCCAGCGCCAGCAGGTCAATATCCGCTACTTGCTGCTGGTGCTGAGCTGCGGTTCCTCCTCCTCCCCCCCTCCTCCTTCTTCTCCTCCTCCTCCTCCTCCTCCTCCTCCTCCTCCTCCTCCTCCTCCTCCTCCTCCTCCCCCGGACTCCTCCCCCAGACTCTTCCCCCGGACTCCTCCTCCTCCTCCTCCTCCTCCTCCTCCTCCTCCTCCTCCTCCTCTCCGTTACCCTGACGCTGCTCCTGACGACCCCGCCGGCCGGCGCCTGGCGGGCCGCGGGGCGGACGGGGGCTGCCGGGCTCCCCGGGGCGGCGGCGCGCGCCCTGGCGCGCGGCGCGCCGCTCGCGCGCGCGGGGGGGCCTGCCAGTGCAGGGTGCGGCGCTGGTCGCGCCCGTCGTCCCGGAGAGGAGGGGGCGGGGGACAAGTGCAAACCCAAGACGCATCAATGATGTTGCAATAAACCCGCCCTCCGAGTCCCTTCTTTACCAACCGCTACCAAATGTGATCTCCATTGCGGAAAAAGGCCCCGTTGCAAGACAACCGTTTGAGAATCCTCTTTCGTGCCATACCACAAGTCCTGGGACCAGCACGCCGAATCAATGTCAACATGACTGTTGCGTCCTGAAAAAATCGGAACCGTGCCAGAACACCATTCCTGGGACTGCAAAGACAGCGAACTGACGTGACTGTTACGTCCTGACAGCACTCGATCGCGCCAAGACACCATTCCTGGAACTTCACTTGTACCAAACCTCTGTAAATTTTGGAACGAGAATGCGCGGCGATAAAGCGAGAGCCACGTTTAGAATAGAAACCGCCCTGCATCTGGAAAACTGCTGCAACAACTGTCGAAACGAGTGTGCGCGGAGCTAAGATGAGAACCAATTGTTCAAAACGGCCGAGCCTTCATCTGTGCGATGTTGCACACTTGATAACAAATGTGCGCATCGCTAATGCGAGAGCTACCGTTTGAAACAAACGCCCTCCATCCATGAGACTCTTGCAAGCTTGAAACGAATGCGCGCGGCGCTAAAACGAACATCACATTTTGAAAAGGGCCCGGCCTCCAACCGTGAAACTGTTGCAAGTTCAAATATTCAAAATCATACCTAGTAAAGAAGTATCTGGCGAAACGCCCAGCGGAGGAGGAGAATCGGGTGAATCGAAATCGGTGCACAGGTCCGAGAACCAGGTCTGGGGAGAAAGGACAGACGGCAGTGCGGGCCGCGGGAGGAGGATCGGGGGGAGGGGGAGCAGGAAGAGGGAACGGCGAGGACCGAAGTTCTTGATCATCTTTCAACGCACCCCCGGAGAGGTCCAGCAGGGGCCACAACAAAGGCCCACGGTCCCAAGGGGGCCCCAAAAAGATCGCTGGCCCGCCAGCTCCCCACAGGCTCCAGGAGGAATACCTAATGGCTGTAGACGTATCATCGCTGCCGGCGCAAGTCGCTGACCTCGAGCACGGGCCGGCCGATGCAGCTTGCTCGAAGGGCGCCATTGCTCTAGGAGGAGGAGGAGGAGGAGGAGGAGGAGGAGGAGGAGGAGGAGGAGGAAGAGGAGCAGGAGGAGGAGGACGACGAGGAGGACGAGGAGGCCTCCTGCTCCCGCGGATCGCTGGCGTCGTCATGCCGTGCGGGCCAGCGCGTCGGCGTGTGATGCGCGCGGCGGCCGGAGCGCACTGTACGACAGCCCGCGCACGCCCCGCGCAGCGGCAGATCTACGAGGCGGGCCTTGCCGCCGTGCCACTGCCCCCGCTGGTCTTCGAGCCGTCGGGCGCGCCCGCCTCTGCTGGGGGGGGAGGAGGGGGGGGGATCGCAACGAACGGACGGGGTAGAGGAGGGGCCCGACCATCAGAAACCTGCCACAAGAAACACGAACCTGAGAAACCAGGACGTCCATGGATCTTGTGGTGCGGGATTGTCACGCTCTCCATCGCAGAACCATCGAAATCCAAGAATCCCATGGCACCCTGGAGGCAAGCAGGGTGTTTCTTGGCAGGGGTCTCTACTGTAGCGGATCAGCGGAATGCTGTCGGTGTTTCTGGCGCCTCCTGGCGCTAGTGCCGCTAGTGGGGCGCCCGTGCACCGAGGAACGGAGGACAGAAGAGCCACCGTTGCTAGGTCGTTTGCCCATACTGTGGCGTTGCTTACTGCATGCCCCGCGTTCCTCTGGGTTGCCTGGTCTTGCTTCCTGATTGTGACGCTCCTCGCGGTTGCGGGGTCGTGTTTCCTGCCTGTGGCGCTGCTCACTGCATTCACGGGGTTGCTTGGTTTTGCTTCTTTGCTGTTATGCCCTGGATTGCTTGGTCTTGCCTCCTTACAGCAGTCCCTGGATGGCTAGGTCTCACTCCCCTGCTGCATTCCCCGGGCTGCTTGGTCGGGCCTCCTCGCCGCCTCGCACTGCCTTGCAGTGTCTTGCAAGGCCTGCCAACGTCTCGCAGTGCCTCGCAACGCAACGGGAGCCAAGAAACGCCCGAGCAGAGCCGGGGCAACGCTCAGGGGGGCGTAAGACAGGGGTACAGGGGACTCGGAAATCCCCGACGAGATCGTCAAAAAAATGACGAGGCCGAGCCTGCATTTTGACGAGGCCTCCCGCTGCAGACATCCCACGAAACTCCTACTCGTCAAAATCCGAGTCGCGGTCGTCAAAAAACGATGGCGAACCCGAGTCCTGGCAAACCCGGGTCTTAAGCTCAAATAAATACACACACACACACACACAGATAACAGGATTCCCCATATCTTCCCTATATTTTCTGGGTTCTTGTCTTCCCCCCCACCTCCCACACTTTCCTATATTTTCCGGGGAATCGACGAATAAATGCGTCTGTGTGTGTGTTTTTTCCCTCCTGGCGAATCAACACGGTGCCGCTCTGCCGACCTCCCTCACGGGGTGCGTTCCGTCCAGGACGCCGAGGCGAGCCCGGCTGTGGCGGCAGGCCCCAGAATGGGACGCAGGAGGACATACCAGTACTGTGCGTCCTCCTCGGGGGCGCGCGTCCGACCCGAGCATCTAGCATAACGAGCTTGTAGCGTACTGCTTCCCGAGCGGTACGGCCATGAAGCACCCGCCACGACGCATATACTATAAGATTTCTCGGTGCGCGCGTCGCCCCGGAGAGGGGGGGGGGGGGGCGACGCGCACATAGTATGAGTATGCTCGGGTGCCGCCGGCAGACGGGCGAGTGGGGGAGGGGCACCAGCATCGGGACGTCTTTGCTCCTCCGAGCTCCTCGGCTGTCCGTGGCCCAAGACCCCAAAGACCCCAGACCCCCAACGTCGTCTCTTTGTTCACCCTGTCTCGACATCTTCCCAGGGACCAGCCTTCGAAGCTGAGTCGTTTGGCGATCCTGGGGCCCGGTAAGGGCCCCAAGGCCTTTGTGAAGGGGCCCTGGGACACACAAATAAACAGACACAAATAACAGGATTCCCCATATTTTCCAATATTTTCTGGTTTTGTCTTCTCCCCCACTTCCCATATTTTCCCATATTTTCCGGGGAATCGACGATTAGTTGTGTCTGTGTTTTCTCCCCCTCCTGACTTTGGGGCGGCTGGTGGGTCTGCGCCTCCGAGAACATCTGGCCAGAGGCGGGATGCGGGCTTCCAAGGTCCACAGTGGCCAAGGGCCCCTGGGACACACAAACAAATATACACAAATAAAAGGATTCCCCGTGTTTTCTGCTGTTTTCTATGTTTCCGTCTTCTCCCCCACTTCCCATATTGTCCCGAATGTTCGGGGGAATCGACGATGAATTGTGTCTGTGTTTTTGTTCCTCCTTAATGGCCAATTGTTGGAGCCGCGTTCAGCCGTGGCGACGATGGGGGATCCTCATCCCTCCCGTCTGCTGGTGGACACCAGGGACGGGCCACCTCGGCCACCTCAGCCCATGCCCGGGGGCCGAGCCGAGGCCGAAAGCATCGCGCCGCGATGGGGGCCCGAGCCCGCCGCACTCGCTCTGCGGGGCGCCGCTCGACGGCCGCTCCAGAACGCCCAGGGGACGCTCCGAGGGCGGTCTGAGCATCGTTTAATCGACCCCTGTCGAAGCTGGCGTGGCCTTCCAACTGGTCGATGTACCCGCCTAGATGAACTATGGATGCTGCTCCCTGCGAGTTTCGCAGGGCACATCTCTCCGACTGGGGGTGGTGGGATGGTGGGGCCGTGGGGCGCTGAGATACCGTGGCCCAAGTGGGGATGGGGATCGGTTGGACGATTTTACGACAGCAGCAGATGGCAGCCTATCCCATTCAATGAGCGAGTGGCCGACAGGGAAATCCGCCTCCCACCTCCCGCCTCCCTCCTCTCGTTAGTCTTAAGTCGTCCGTGACCAGCGTCGGGGTCGTCATCGTCGTCGTCGTCGTCGTCGTCGCCGTCGTCGTGTCAACCACTAGCATCTGGAGCGCCTCGCATCGGCGGCACTGGCCGGAGGCCTTTCAAATCATGACAGAAAAAGAAACGATCCGTGGGGCTGAGATGCCGTGGCCCAGTGGGGATGGGGATCGGTTGAACGATTTTACGGCAGCAGCAGATGGCAGCCTATCCCATTTAATGAGCGAGTGGCCTACAAGAAAATCCGCCGATATGGCTTGTGAGTATGTAAAAGACTCAGCTACGGCCTACAGCATAGAGCCTGAACTTCAGCTCTGCTGCGGGGGGGGCGGGGCGGGGGGGCTCTGCCGGGGAAGGGGGGGAAGAGGGGGGGGGGACGAGTTGTTGTGGTGCGCTTTCCTGAGGGGGGGGGGGGGGGCCTTTCCGGGCCCACGAGGGCCCCGAGACGGGCCAAGAAGCCCCAAGACCCCCCCAAGACGGCCCCAGAAGCCCCCGAGACGCCCCAACGAGCGCTCCATCGGACGCCGAAGAGGACCTCCAGACGGCCCAGGAGGCCGCCGAGATGCTCCTTAAGAAGCCCCCAAGACGCTCCGAGCAGGACGTGCAACCATCCGCCTCGCCGCGCCGGCCGCCGACCGCCACGGGCCCAGCGCCGCCAGCGCCCGCGCCGGAGCCGCTGCTCGGGGCGTCCACGTCGGCGACGTCGGCGACGGCGCCGGGCCCGCCCGCGCCGCGCGGGCCGTCGCCCGCTGCCCGCTCTGGGCGAGCGCGCTCCACTACCTGGCGGCGCGCAGAGGGAGGGGCATGTGGGGGGGGGGGGCTTCCTCCTAGAAAGGGGGCTGCTTCTCTCAGAAGGCCCCAGCCTTGCATCTGCAGGCAAGGCCCGCGCCTTCTGAGGACCAGGGGTGCTTCTAAGAAGCCTTCCCCCCTAGACCTACCCTCGCAGGCCTAGAGGTTGACACCAGCACCGAAGGAAGAAGATCCCGATCTCGGCGATGGCGGTAAAATCATGGCTTCCAAGGTGACCAAAATATTACCACCAACACCGAACTCGAGGATCATCTCCCCCTGTGGAGGCTCCCCCCCTGTGTTGGTGTTGGTGCCGATTTCCAGGCCTCCGATACCCCCCTCTGCGCGTGGCCGCCGCTCGCCGCCTGCTCGGCGCCGGCGACTGGGCGCGCCTTCTCCCGGCGTCGGCCGCCGCCGCCGCCGTAGGGCTCCGCGCGGGCCTCGCGGGGTGAGGGAGGGGGCCCGCTCAACAGCGGGTCTCTCGTGGCTGCTGCATGGTCCATCCATGGCTCATTCGAAGGATCTGGCCTGGTTGGCGTCCGCCGCGCGTGGGCACATCGGGGCGGGAGTGCGACGCCCGAGCGCTGTCCGTTGGCGGTGACGCACCGCCAAGCCGTTGTCGCTAGCACAGGCATGGACAAATCCGTGCGTTGCAAGACGCAAAAATGTAAATTCACGTTTGGCAATCGGCAATTGTGAAATCAAGAACGCAAATGTGAATTCGCATTTTCCGGTGTTGGTTTTCTGCTTGATTAGCATGCCGAAAGTGTGAGTTCGCATGTTGGAACACGCAGAATATGAATTCACTTAATGGGGAAACGAAGGATGTGAATTCAGATTCTGACCAATCGTCCCGAACCTTCAATGCGCCCCGGGAGATGGCCCGCGACGTAGCAAGGCGGGCAACGATGGCGAGGCGGCGCGTTGCCGCCAACGGACAACGCTCGAGCGTCGCACTCCTGCTTCTCGAAATCCCAAAGCGTACTGTGGACGCCAACCACACTGGAGAATTTGAATGGACGCTATCGATGGGCCACTCAGCACCCACTGACGACCCCCTGTGGCGGACCCCTCCTTCTGTCACCCTCCGAGGGCCCGGGGCTGCGCGGGCGCGGGGGCCTCGCCCGAGAGGCCAGGACGCTCCTGCCAGGTGGAGGGCCCGCCCCCGCCCCCCCACCAAGCCAGTGCCGCCTGATCTGGCGACGGAGCGCGCCGCCTGCGGGGAAGCGGGGCCCGCCGCCGCGCGCCACAGTCCATGCCTGCGTTTCCTCGATCCCCGGGGCGGCTGCGGAGAAGGCTCAGAAAAACTGTCTGGAGGACCGAGTACAAGACAATCCCACCAGCGCTTTAGGACGTGAGTGGTTTTGGGCGTTTCCTGATCCAACCCCGTTCGCCCCCTTCGGGGAGGGGCTTATCACTGTCCCCTGTGATTACACACCCCCTCACCAGCCCTGGTAACAAAAAATTAGCCTGACGAAGGACCCAACCATATGCAAGTGTGAGTACCGCAATTGTGATTCCCTTTTTCGGTGGTGATCCCTATGAGGCAACGAACCGTGCTATGGGTGTGCCGAAATGAGTGGCGTGGCACACAATGCGAACCAAAACGAACAACGCAATGCGGACTGCGCCACGGGGACCTTCGGTGGGGCTCCATATGGGGCCACGAAACGCTGTACTGGGTGATGGAGACGCATGCGGACTGCGCCGCGCACGGGAACCTTCCGTGGAGTTCCCTATGGGGCCACGAAACGTGTGAGGAGTGTGCCGAAATGAATGGCGGGGACGCATGCGGACCGTGCCACTGGGACCTTCGGCGGAGCCTATGCAGCCACGAAGCGTGTGAGGGGTGTGCCGAAATGAACGGCGGGGACGCATGCGAACTGTGCCACTGGGACCTTCGGCGGAGCTCCTATGGGGGCACGAAACGTGTGAGGGGTGCGCCGAAATCAATGGCGGGGACGCATGCGAACTGTGCCACTGGGACCTTCGGCGGAGCTCCTATGGAGCCACGAAACGTGTGAGGGGTGAGCCGAAATGAGTGGCGGGGACGCATGCGAACTGTGCCACTGGGACCTTCGGCGGAGCTGCTATGGAGCCACGAAACGTGTGCGGGGTGTGCCGAAATGAGTGGCGGGGACGCATGCGAACTGTGCCACTGGGACCTTCCGCGGAGCTCCTATGGGGCCACGAAACGTGTGAGGGGTGTGCCGAAATGAGTGGCGGGGACGCATGCGAACTGTGCCACTGGGACCTTCGGCGGAGCTCCTATGGGGCCACGAAACGTGTGAGGTGCGTGCCGAAATGAATGGCGGGGACGCATGCGAACTGTGCCACTGGGACCTTCGGCGGAACTCCTATAGGGCCACGGAACGTGTAAGGGTTGTGCCGAAATGAATGGCGGGGACGCATGCGAACTGTGCCACTGGGAACTTCGTCAGAGCTCCTATGGGGCCACGAAACGTGTGAGGGTTGTGCCGAAATGAACGGCGGGGACGCATGCGAACTGTGCCACTGGGACCTTCGGCGGAGCTCCTATGGGGCAACGAAACGTGTGAGGGGTGTGCCGAAATGAATGGCGGGGACGCATGCGAACTGTGCCACTGGGACCTTCGGTGGAGCTCCTATGGGGCCACGAAACGTGTGAGGGGTGTGCCGAAAGGAGTGGCGGGGACGCATGCGAACTGTGCCACCAGGGCCTTCGGCGGAGCTCCTATGGGGCCACGAAGCGTGTGCGGGGTGTGCCGAAATGAGTGGCGGGGACGCATGCGAACTGTGCCACTGGGACCTTCGGCGGAGCTCCTATGGGGCCGAAATGAGTGGCGGGGACGCATGCGAACTATGCCACTGGGACCTTCGGCGGAGCTCCTATGGGGCGAAACGTGTGTGGGGTGTGCCGAAATCAATGTCGGGGACGCATGCGGACCGTGCCACTGGGACCTTCGGCGGAGCTCTTATGGGGCCACGAAACGTGTGTGGGGTGTGCCGAAATGAGTTGCGGGGACGCATGCGAACTGTGCCACTGGGACCTTCCGCGGAGCTCCTACGGGGCCACGAAGCGTGTGAGGGGTGTGCCGACATGAACGGCGGGGACGCATGCGAACTGTGCCACTGGGAACTTCGGCAGAGCTCCTATGGGCCACGAAACGTGTGAGGGGTGTGCCGAAATGAATGGCGGGGACGCATGCGAACTGTGCCACTGGGACCTTCGGCGGAGCTCCTATGGGGCCACGAAACATGTGAGGGGTGTGCCGAAATGAGTGGCGGGGACGCATGCGAACTGTGCCACTGGGACCTTCGGCGGAGCTCCTATGGGGCCACGAAACGTGTGATGACGGTGATGACGATGACGATGGCGATGGCGATGACGATGATGATGATGATGATGATGATGATGATGATGATGATGATGAGGCTGATGATGATGATGATGATGAGGATGATCAGGGTGATGATGGTGATGATGATGATGATGATACTGATAATGATAATGATAACGATCATGATAATGATAATGATACTGATACTGATACTGATAATGATGATGATGGTGATGATGATGATGATGGTGGTGATGATGATGATGATACTGATGATGACGACGACGACGACGACGACGACGACGACGACGAGGAGGAGGAGGAGGAGGAGGATGATGCTGATGACGATGATGATGATGATGATGATGATGATGATGATGATGAGAGGAGGGGACGGGGAGGAGAAGGATGAGGAGACGCGGGGACCGTCTCTTCAAAACGAGGACCCAACAGCACAGGTTGGTTGGGAACATAAAAACAATATTTACTGCCTCCAGGCGGCCCAACAGGGCTGGAAGACGCCCCAAGAGGCCTCGAAGAGCACTCCCAAGAGAGCCCCACGAAGAAACATTCATTGATTTTCCATTAGTTGTTTAAAGGTTTGGGCGTTCTCCCCTTATCAACTTCCCGACGCTCCAAAAAAAATGCCCAAGATGCTCCAACCATCGCCCCAAGAGGCCTCCAAGAGGGTCCCGAAACGGGCCAAAGAGGGCCCGAAGACAGCCCAAGACGCCTGAAAGACGGCCCGAGAGGCCCCAAAGAAGGCTCCAAGAGGGTGCCCAAACAGAACCAAACGGACATTTCGAGCCCTCGCCCCCGAGAGGCTCCCAAGGCCAAGAGGCCCCCAAGAGGCCCCCAAGAGGCTTCAAGAGGCCCCCAAGAGGCCCCCAGGAAGCCCCAAGATGCCCCCACGAGGCCCCCAAGAGCTCCCAAGAGGCCTCCAAGATACTCCAAAGGGGCCCACCAAACTGCCCCCCAGAGGCCTCCGAGAGCGCTCTGAAGAGACCCCAAACAGAGTCCCTGAGGACTCCCACGCACGTCAGCGTCGTCGGTCGTCGGTCGTCGGTCGTCGGCCGTCGGTCGTCGTCATCGTCGGTCGTCGGTCGTCGTCGTCGTCGTCGTCGTCGTCGTCGTCGTCGTCGTCGTCGTCGGCGTCGGCGTCGGCGTCGGCGTCGGCGTCGGCGTCGTCGTCGTCGTCGTCGTCGTCGTCGTCGTCGTCGTCGTCGTCGTCGTCCCCCTTCCGGGTTGGCGGCACCTACCGTAAGACCTTCGCAATATGATGTGCATCTCCATGCTCTACTATACTCAACTCTACTGTACCGTACTCTGCCCTACAATATCTCACCCCCTACTTTACTTGACTTTCATCTGCCCCACTCTACCCTGCTCCGAGTAGAATCTACTCTGAGTCAGTCGTCGGTCGCCGTCGTCGTCCTCGCTGCGTCTTCGTCATTGGTATTCGTCGTCGTCTTCAGCGTCTGCGTCGGCGTCGTGCTTGTCGTGCTCGTCGTCGTCGTCGTCGTCGTCGTCGTCGCCGGGTCCAGAGAATTTCTCAGCGGGGAGCAGTGTTCTGGACCCTCCCTCCCTCCCTGTTTTTTTGGGTGGGGTTTGAACCCCCTTGCCAGCAGCCGCAGAACGCGTTCTGTCAAAAACTGCAGCGCCAGGATCTCAGCGGTCGTGATTCGTGCCACGACGCGAGCATGTCTGATGCGGGTGCCTCCGAACACTTCTAGGGGACGAGCAATGACATAAACTTAAAGACTCGGAGGTCCAGGCGGGTCCAGCGCCGATCCGAGAAATCCGCGCGGACCTCCGAGTTTTTACGTTTGTGTCATTGTTCGTGCCCCTATAGGCATCTCTGGCGCGGGTGCCTCCGAACACTTCCCCCTCCCGAGCTCCGCGCCGGTCGGGGCCCGGGGCGCCAGGCCGCCAAAGAGGTCACCCCTCCCGAGGCCCCGCGCCGGCGCCAGCGCGCCCTCCTCGCGCAGGGCCCGGCGGGCGCCCATGAGCGCCCAGCCGAGTATACTGCAGGGGAAGAAACAGCGCCATAAGCAGAAACTTTTGGCGCTCCGCGCGGATCCAACAAATCCGTGCGGAGCGTCAAAAGTTTCTGCTTATGGCGTTTTTCTTCTTCGGTATTAGTGCCGCACCACGCGGAGGGGTCCCGCGCTCGGGGGTCGCCCACGTCGATGCCGATGCCCCAGATCTTATCCCTGTAGCCAGATCTCTTCTGTGATTCGCGACAGCACCCGTGACTGCCCCCCCCCTGCCCGACCCGCTGGTCACGTCACTGTTCGCGCCGGCGCCGTCCGGGAATGAGCCATATCTAGGCGTTCCTGGACGGCGCCGCCGCGAATCGTGACGTGACTGGCCCCCTCGCCCCCCTCCAGTCACGCCCGTTCTCGCCAGGGAGTTACAAAATGGTCTCCTGGCGGTGGCCTCCGCGATCAGGCGGTCGCCCGTGCCCAGCAGCACGGACCGCATCGCGGGGGACTGGCGAAACTTCTCCAGGGGAACGAAGGGTGACATACACATAAAAACTCGGAGGTCCGCGCGGAAGCCGGCGCTGGATCCCCCTCCCTGGCGCGCAGAGCGCGCCAAGGGGTCCCGCACGGACCTCCGAGTTTTTATGTTTGTGTCACTGTTCGTTCCTCTGTTCTCGTAGACGACGTGGAAAGCCACGTGGCACACCACTCGGTCCCAAAGCGTGCCGTTGAAGTTCTGGACCCTGCGCCCCAGTGTTTTCGCCTGGTGTGGACGCCTGGCCTCGCAGATCTCCACATATGTCTGCACGTCACCCATGACAGCGGCCTTGCAGAGCATGATCGCCTTCTCCGAGAAAGCACAAGAGACTCGACGTCGGTCTTCTGGCAACTCGACTTTGCAATCAAGCTGGTTGGACACAGAGAACCAAAACGGGTCGTCTCGCTGGTCGTAGAAATTCGAGAAACATGCAAATTGTCTGGCATGCCGCCCATGCCCGTAAAACTCGACCACGTCTCGCGGACCGCTTATGGCTTTCCAAGTTTGTGCAAGCTGCTGCGCGGTGGTTCCAAGCCCGCGGTCGGCATGCCCAGGCACCTCGCTTGCACCCTCAATCAT